GATACCATCTCTGAAGTGACACCGAGACCCTGCAACGGTGAGTTTTTGACCTCGCAACCTCTAAAGAAAATGACGTACCTGAGCCACCTTATCCAGCGCAGGAAGATATATGTTTGGCGATAATGCAGGAAAGATCCCCACGACGGAAACTAGCACAACAATGAACTTCCGTCTTCGATGCGAAAACACATGGTAAATCTTATCTTGCCGCGCACCATCCGCTCCCTCGTTCTTTTCCTCGTACTCCTCTTCAGCAACTTCCACCGTATTCCACCACCCCCTCTTCTCATCGACACTCTCCACCACCGCCACCTGGCTCAATCGCGGCTCCGGCGAAATCTCCCTAACCTCCAACCTACTCGCGACCCTACCACTCTGCACCCTCCCACTCTGCACTCTCCCACTAACAATCCTCATCGACCCCGGCGGCGACACCCTCACAACCTGCACCCCCGAAATCCTCGCCGACAACGGCCTCGAGATCCTCGCCGACTGCACCCTCGAAATCTCCCTCTGATACAGCTCCGGCACGCGCGGCAGCGGCTCGGTAGCATAATCCCTCGGCAGCAGCAGCTCCGGGTCGAACTGGTGTCTGACGTCGAACATGCGGATACTGCTATTCATCACAAAGACGCCCGTCCCAATCTCCCTCCAGCCTTCCAGCGTCGTGAAGCGGCGCGAGAGGCGCCGCGAAATGAGGGACCATGAGTTTGTGCGGATCGAGTCTTCGTAGAGGGACATGGTGGTGGGCGGGTATGGCGACGACGGTGACGGGGGGATAGACGTAGAGAACGACTACGACGACGAGCGGGAACACCAACGTGGTGGCGGTGCAAGGGGGGACGGGACGAAGGAGCCTCAGGTACTTGTGCAGCTGCAGTACAGTACAGGCAGGCGCATGGCATGTCAAAGGAAAAGCGAGCAAACTCAAATCATGAGCGGAGCTATTGGCAAGGGGGTGCCAATAGCACCAAGAGAAGCGAAATCACGCAGTAAAGATGTATTATGGGCAGTAGAGACGGGGAGAGTGTGGTCGAGGGCTTTTCTTCTGCGTTCTTGGGGCGGCACGGGCGAAGATGGGTGCGAAACGTGGGCCGTTTCCGGCTGCGTGCGCTTCCGCTTCGCGGGTCGCACACCCCTGGGAGTGTTCAAACGAGGATAAGGGAGGGACCGAGGTGCTGAGAGGCGAGGTGGAAGATGGAGAGCTGGGGAGGTGGAGGAAATGGTTTGGATTTTTCAAGATATATATGTACAAGCTGCATGCGCTAAAGGATAGTCATTAACGTCAATATCGCACAGGAAGTGACTAGAAAAGTATATATACGTCAAAACTCTGGAGGCCGTGTCTTCAGAATGAAAGAATTGATCGCTTCGCTGAATGTTTTCGTTCGTCGTCTGGCCGGCAGAGCTTCAGCAGGCGCAACCGGAGCTTCCCCGTTCATTTGTCTCTGCAAAGTACTCAGCATGACACTTGAAATAGTTGCACCAGTTGGAATTACCTTTTCATCCACGGGCCAGACATCTCGTCGTCTCTGGATCCGCTTGTACGTAATTATGATTGCCGCAACGATTATTGAGATTCCTCCTGTGCGGCGTTAGCGCGGTTTTTATACGAGATAAAGATGCCAAAGATGCTTACCGAGTGCTCCCATTGCTATCAACAAGCCTTTCGCGGCATCAGAAATTACGGGATCCTCTCTTTGTGCTTCCGAAGTTGCTTGCGGTGCACCAGTGCTCGAAAAGGTTCCGCTAACGAACACTGATGATTCAGCCGTGCTCAAGCTCCCCGGAGTCGCAGAAAATCGGAACGATGGAATGATAGTCACCGTGTCTGGAAGTGGCGTCAAGGTGAGGAGAAGTGTCTCAGTTTCCGCAGGCAACGCTGGAGGTGGAGGAGCATTGGAGGGCGGGGGAGCCACTGGAGGGCTTGGGTTCTCCTCACCTTTTCCTTTTGCCGTTTGCGTTATAGTAATGAAAGATGTGGTTGTGTCCCCAGGAAATGAGAAAACGTTAGACGAAGCTGGCGGGGGTGGCGGCGGGGGTGGTGGAGGAGGTTCTTGTGAAGAGCTTGGGGGTGGAGGAGGAGGTGCAACGGATGATTCTGGAGGTGGAGGAGGCGGTGCAGCTGATTCTGGAGGAGGAGGCGGTGGAGTTGATGATTCCGGGGGAGGCGGAGGCGGTGGAGTTGATGATTCTGGGGGAGGCGGAGGCGGTGGAGTTGATGATTCGGGCGGCGGCGGTGGTGCTATTGCTGCTGGTGGGGTCGATTCAACAGGCGGCGGTTGCTCTATCGATGGAGGAGGTGGTGTTGCTGGTGCCGCTGGTGCCGCCGGTGCTGCTGGCGCTTCTGGTGCCGCTGCTGCTGGTGGTGCTTCATTCCCATTTCCCTTTGCTGGTGGACTTTGCCCCGGATTCTCTGGAGGTAGTGCATTTGGTTGTTGCGGCCCCTCTGCGCCGTTTGCTTTGCCCTTCCCTGGTGTTGCACCTGCAGGATTTCCTTCGTTGCCGACATTTCCAGCTGGTGAATCGGGAGCTGGGGCTGCATTTGGAGGATTGTCTGCATTCCCTTTCGCGTTGGGAGAATTCTGTCCCGGCTCCGCGCCCGGAGCGTTCGGTTCGTTCCCGCCTGGAGATGGTGAACCGGCCCCAGGGCCTGGCTGTTCAGCTTGAGGCTCACGCCTCAGTATGGACGGAGCGCGTTTGTAGTTCGATATCATCCCCATCTCTGCCACGGACCTGCGAATGGCGAGGGGCGGGGATAGTTTGGTGGGGCACAGCACACCAGGTCTTTAAGACGTCCAGCATCGATTTCAAAATCATCTCATCGGAACCAACAGCATCCAGCGGGCCGTGTAGAGAATCTCAACATTGTGAGCGGTGTTGGCGAAAAAAGTTGCGGCGCTGAGCGCTCCTGTTCGCGAGTCGTTGGGCTTGTTTTGAGGTGATCCACGTTTGGGATCCGGATGGCGCGCGCCTGCCTCCTGAATGCAGATTAGCTTTACGCATGAATGTCGACTCTGGCGATTCGTCTAGCTACAATTGCTTAGTGAAGGCCGCCGAAAACATTCTTGAGACGCCTGGCTGCTCCTTTGAAACTCCTTGTTGGTGTCTGAAACGCTCCGGGTAAAGCTTCGCGCTAGGCTGCAAAAGAAACAGCGCGCCGTTTACCAAGCCCTTGATCAAAGTTAAAAGGTCTATGATGTTTCTCAATAGCGACAAGACGTCTGGACTCGGGTGTTAGCGCCTGCATGGCAATGGCGGCTGTGTTTGATGTGCGCGGGAGCTCTGCCGCCTCGTCGACGTGCAAAGCCAATGCACTGAACAGGTGATTTGAGTTTGCAGCAAAAAGGAGCATGAAAGATGAAGGATTGTATCTTGCTATTTGCCGGCGGATCTCTGACGGGAACTAGCTACTTTTGAGGGTAAAGTTCTGAGTTGCTGTGCCGCGAGGGTGTACAAATAACCTGATGTGGAAGCTCAGGATACTTGGACCTGCGGCTGCGGGCTTGACGCACAAAAATGCCGGAGACAAAGGGGCCGGATCCGGTCGCCAACCAGTTAGTTGACATTTGCCTGCCCCCCAAAGCGCCACCGCTCCCGTCGTCGCAGCTGGAGCGTAAAGTGCTTCTTTTGACCCCTTTCAAATATACTGCATACCACTGAAGGTAATCATGTCGTCCTTGTCGTCTTCAACTACCTTTCCTACCAACGCCTTCGTGACCATCGACCTAGGCACCCGCAACTTCATAAAGCCATCTCCAAGGAAGGCAATATGAACGTAGGTGACCTCTTTGCCTTTGACGAACTCGTATTCTTGAGTCGATGCAATGAGCGCGTTTGACGAAGCGTACTTGGGAAACTTCTGAGGCGCGGTTTGAAACGATGTCAGCGGGAAATGGATCCAGGCCGACCATCGGTTCCCATGGAGTTGCTCGAAGAACATATTCGGCCTAGTCCACTGTGGTGGCGCGTAGTTTGACCCGATGGAAAGATACTCCGAAGAGTATAGGCCCCAAATACCTGCATCGGCGTTGTGGACCTGTAGTGATATCAGAGTCTGCTTGAAAGACCCGAAGAGACCCCAAAGGACTGCAGTCAGCTCTGTCGAGCTTTGACCGAGCCTCGCAGAACTGCTTGTCGGCATATGGCTCGGTCTCGCGTACCTTTATCTTGTCTCCAGCTTGAACCTTGTTGATCAGGCTACGCTCTGCGACGCGCAATCCCTCTTCCTTTTGAGCAATCTCGGTGCGCCACTGCTCAATCTTGACGCCATTCTTGCCATAGAGACCTGGATTTTTCGGAATGTCTTTGCTGCTGCCGCACATCACATTATCCTCATCGTCCTCATCACTCTCCATGAGCCGAGCACCTTGTTCACCATTCCGAATAGTTTGGTTCAACGCCGCCTTGGCTCGAGTGCTGATCTCTTTCTTGTCCAGAACGATTCCTATTTTATTGATACCGAGGTGATCTAACTGGAGTGTCAACACTCACCTTCTACCTTTGCCTTCTCCCTGATCTGGGTTTTGAAGTGGCCCCAAGACAATTCGCGCGTCATCTGAGGTTTTGCGCGCGAACGCCTACCCCCACGTTTGACGCGTTTGACGCGTTGGCGTTGAATCGTCGTCATTGCTCTGGGGGGCTTCTGCTCAGTGAAAGAAGAAGAGGACCATGGAAAGAAAGCTGGAGCAAGTTGCCCTACGAAGGCAGGCACGCTAGCGCCTTGGCGGATTTAGCAGAGGGTCCATCCAGACTACGCAAGGACGTCCAAGTGTTCAGAAGTAGCCTGAGATGAGTAGAAATGATTACAAACAGCAAAAAAGGTTGAATACCGCATGAGAAATAATTCGAAATGCAGCGTTTACAACCAAGCCAGAAGCTTTCTCATATCGAACCCTCCTTTTGAGTACCTGATCGCCATGAAAGCTCTAGGTTCTTTATGAAGAGACACAAGACTAATACGCAAAAAAAAAGAAAATCCATACGAAAGCTGTTATTCATGCGGACGCCCGGAGTCGAACCGGGGATCTCTGCGGCAGTTGTCCCACAACGCAGCGCCATGACCACTAGGCCACGTCCGCTTCTAGTAACGAATATACTTGTTTTCGACTTTGAAATTACAAATGGTGCATAGAGAAGTGAGTGCGACATTAAGAAAAAAGGTTTGGCCAGTCGTGGATACCAGGCGCGTTTGATATTCTCAATAACTGGAGCAAACAGAGCGATGCAGGCCCCGCAGGAACTCTTGCCGCATGCCTCTACGCTGAGCCAAGAATGGAATTAAGCTATACATGGTCAAACTAATTCTGTCAGATGCCCTTTGATAGCATCCTGCTCCTCCGCAGTCAGCGTGATGCCAAAGTGATCCCACAGCGACTTGATCCTCTCCCTCTCCGTCTTACTCTCATGTACAATCTTTGTCTTGCCTCCCAAATTTTGCTTCACTGTGCCATATACCAGCATCAACTTTCCATAGATCTCTTCGCCTTCGTAGACTCCAACAACGCCGTTGGACAGCTCGGTGATTTGCTTCTTTTGCCGAAGAAACTTGACGATCATTGGTGTTGTGGCTTGAAAGGACTCTGCCGAGTTCCCAGTGTACCAGTTCACGACGCGGAAATCGTCATGGAAGAATTCGAATTCGGAAAAGGCGTAGAAGCTATTCCAGGGCAGGTCTGGGCTGTTACGGTATTGGTAGATCCACTGCTTGGTGCTATCGGTGCGGACGGTTTGAAGTGGTATGTGATCGTGAACTAAACGGATGTCTTGGGTGCCGAGATTTTGGATGCCTTCTTGAGGGTGCTTCAGTGGGAGAGGTTTGGTTGCACCATCGCCTATCAGTCGATGCTCAGCCGCAATTCTGCTTGGGAAACGCAGGTCATCAGTCTGCAACACGTACCTCCGAAACCGACGTCACACACGTATTTTGATCCGTCCTCGAGAGTAACAATGTTCACGATATGTCTCCTGGCTACACGTCAGGAGTGATTACAGAAAGATCGTGAGAGCAATGACCAGCCAGTATACTCTCCAGCAGGCACCCCATTCTCCCGCAGTCGAATTCTCACCCCTGCCGTGTAGACATTGAAACTCAAACCCTTCAGTATATGGTTGAACAGGATGCTGACTTCCATACAATAGCCACCACGGCCGCGCTTGTCGACTACAACTTTTTGGAAAAGATGCTGACTGAAATCAGCAGAGACTCGGCGAAAATCAACATCATCGACATGCCTCCGGCTCGATTGAAATGCTATGTGCCTTCGAGTAGTGTAGCGTAAGATTCTCGTACGGTATCGTAGATATCGTGTGCACGTGCAATGCCGTCAAGAAAGCGAGGTCGCGAGGCGCATCGTTCTCCGGATGAAAGCGCTCGGGCAGCTCGATGTACCGGCAATAGGCCGAGATTTGCTCTGGGGTGTAGGCCGACATGGCTCAGATGCTAAGCCAGGAGACGCAGCCCAGCGAAGCCAAGATGGAGAAATACAGATACATGAGGATCAAGAGTCTGGGTGCTGCGTTGTGAGTCAACGCGACGCCGACGCCGAATGCCGACTTCGGCATTGCGCAATTGGCCATGTCATTTGTTATCGAGGAAGGAGCGCTGTATCGCCTGGCATTGTGCGAGTTCCGATGAACAGGGCGCAGGAAAGTGCAAAGATGATGCGAAGAGAGATGAAGCGATGCATTAGACGTCATTGAGCCTCGCCGGGAAGGTGCCGGATGCGGGGCCTTTCCGTCCCACAATTCAGACGCCAGCGCGAAGTCCGACTCTTTCCAGTGCACTCATCGCATTTGGCTTCTGATTAAACAGCCGCGAACGAATTCAGTCAACAATAGGTCGCGTACCCGCAGGGTTTGTCGTGGTCGGACACCTTATTTTCGATATACACGTTTCAGCCAACTGACGCAATTTGTGCCACCGATTCCAAATCGTTATATATATGCACTTCCTCGATCCCAACATCTCCCCTCACATTCCCGCCCTCGCTTCCTCCAGTACACTCCGATCCACCATGCCCTTCAACGTCGCGGCACTCTGCGGCTGCCTGTTGTCCACTTTGGCCACATAGCTATCCTCGACACTCAACACGCTCTCTAGATCCTCGGGCACCGTCCCCGTCCACTTGTGAACCGGCCACACGGCTTTCATGATTTCCGTGCTCATGGGCGGGCTCAGCGCCGCCGCCGCCCTCGCATACACCTTGTCCGGCTGATCCCTGAACACGGCCAGCGTCTTCTCGAGCGCGCGTAGGAACGCGACGATCTCGGCGCGCTTGGACTTGTCGGCCAGCTTCTCGGCCGTCGTGTGCAGGTTGAAGATCTCGCGGTACACGGTGAAGTTCTGGAAAAATATTGCATTGTCGGATCCGATGGCGCGCGCCGCGAGCTCGACCGTCGGCTCCCAGAAGCCGATTGCGTCGGCCTTGCCGTGTGCCAGCATGTTGGGAAAGGTCCCGTCACCGCACGGTTCGCTGAGGCATTGACTGCCGGAGACGCTGGTGTACTGGCTGGTGCTGATGCCCGCGCTCTCCATCATCTTTTGCACAAAGTAGCCGCTGCTGGTGCCCTGAACGGAGCCGATGTGCTTGCCCTTTAGGTCGGCGAGCGACTTGATCTTGCGCTTGTCGGCGACGATGCGGTAGGCGACTTCGGACACAGTGTAGATGATGCGGAGATTCTTGTGTGACGCGTAGTTGCGGAGGGCTTGCGTCTCCGCGTTGGAGGCGAGGTCCACAGAAGAGTCTGAGAAGAGACTTGGAACGCCGCCGTTCACGATGCTGACGGTGCCATTGTAGAAGTCTTCTTTGGCCAATTTCTCAGGAGTCCATTCGATGACACCGAGGGCAGAGGCAATCTTGAGGGCGGCATTAGTAAAGGGGAGGAAGAGGGCAAGAATCGATAGGATGGACGCGAGACGGTTCATCGTGCTAAAAGAAGCCCACTCAAGGTGCAATTGGAGACCGAAATGAGGAGAATACTATGTCTGAAAACGCGGGGAACTGCCCAGGGCGAGCGCTGCACGATATATAATTTTTGCCTTGATCCTGCCTGCCGCAATGCACCCCAGGCCACGATTTGCAGAGGCTCCTGCAGGCACCGAGGCCGCTAATCATAGTCCAAGCCGGTAATAATCTTTGTGTGTGGAACCCGAGTTCACTATCGTGATAGTTCTCCATGCAGGCTAAGCTTTCGGACAAGCTTTTAATATCCGGCAGTTCGCTAATAGGCAAATGACAGTGTACTTGTCGCTGATGACCCAAGTCGATACCCTGCAAAGTGGAGACGAGGTGTAAATGTGAATATCGGATAGTCTATTCAGGTAAGCGGTGGCGATTGGGATCGCAACGCGTATGCATGGAGAAGGCGTGCAGTCGAATGGATCGGTTGATCCAGTGTTGGCATCGGGACTTCTTGAGTGGCGGGCTGAATGAAAGCTATTGTACAAAATCTCTGGATCGGGATGCTGTTACCCGTGTCCCTTCGTCATTGGTTTTGAAACCTTGCAAGGTTCGCTGTGAGCAGCACGGATGACTTTGACGAATCGGGGTTTGATCAGTGTTGCTCTCCTCCCTCTGATGCGATGTAATGACGGTCATAAATGTTATTCAAGTCTTCGGAAGATTGACGCCGCCTTCGATAGTTGTTATACATGGCTGCCGAATCCGTGGGCGTGAGCTTCTTGCGCTCGGGCCCCACGGGCTTGAGCTCGATGAGAGGGCTGCTGTAAAAGTCAAGATTGGTCTTGGTCTCATTCCTATGTCCATAACTTTGCCACTGTGGCTGTGAGGCAGGACAGACTCTTGATCATCCGAATGCCCGATGATCACGTGCTAAACTGATCGCCGATAACGCTTTTTCTTCGGGTGGAACCTCCTACACATATCTCGCTCCTCGTATTTCTTCCAGTTCAATACGCGAGATAGTAGACCATGACCTGGTCGTGGTCATTGGCTCATTCCTTGAGCTTCTTCTTGAGAGCCTGCACTTCGGCCTCACGAACCATCTCTTGTTCTACTAGCCTTAAACGAGTTCTTTTCCACATGGCGCGCACTTGTTTTGTTCAATCTATTCTCCAAGAATCTGGGCTTGACGCAAGCCTTCATAAGTTAGAGCAATCTCATGGCAGTTATGGGCAGTCCCATGGTAGTTGCTGGTAATGCGAGGAAGATCTCGTGGTTTTGATGCCGAACAGCAGGATGAACCAGCTCTCAGGGCTGTACCAAGTCGTGTCTAAGATCTAGCTCAGACCGAGTGAAGCAGGTCCAATGGTATCGATTACCTGGGAACCAAGTTTTAACTGTTCTTCACATCGCTGAGTCCGAGCGCGACAAGTTCGGCTTTCGTGAGGTTGAATGCGCAGTCAAGACAATGACTTGCTAAAGTGAAGCGATGACCCGGCGTTAGCTGTGGCGTTGACTGTGATGTTCAAAAGTAGGAGCGGCGAGGATGGCGCGGCTGCCACGATCCTTGAAGTCAATAGCGCTAAGCCTCTTTGGGTAGTGGCTGCAGCACACACCATGATAAAGTTTCCAGCGTCGTGGAACGATTCAGCCCTGCAATATGCAGAGAAAAGGGTAACGTAAGAAGAAACCCTTCCATTTCTAAGCCCAGAGACAACTCTCGAAATGCCCCCACGCTACGGAGGTTTTTGGCCTGATTTCGTTGTACGATCCCGCTGCTTTTGGCAAAGATCTTCGCTCATCTCGAAATCGCCACCTGTGTCCACAGTGGAACAGTCTCCGAGTTGGTCTTCTCTGTGAGAGAAGGGTGCATGAACGCGCAATCAGCAAGGAGAATATGCTCGATGCGTTTGTGCGGGCGCAAGCAAGTGAAATCAGCTTTTGTTGTATCGAGGGCATCGATCACTCTCCCTCTCCAATGTCTGGCTTGCGATTTCAAGGCTGGAACTGAGAAGGACGAAACAGGAAAATGGATACACCATCTCTTTCGGCACTTGTCTTCCGAGATTGACTAGTGAAAAGACGCGTATCGGGCCAAGATCTCTTGTGCTGTACAAGCTGTGCACAGATTCACGGCGCCCGCGTTTAGCCAAGGACCGAACACCGCAATTCGTACT